AAGTTGGTGGGGACGGCTCATAAGGAAAGGGAGCTACCTGCGCGACGCCTTTTTTTTTGTTGGAAAGGATAAAGCCAAAAAAATGCGAATAACATTTATCAATTTAATGCTTACAGTTGAAAACATAACTGTTACAATATTCACTTATATATTTTGTGCAAAAAATATCACATAAATCTAAACAGACAGTACAAATCAAAGAAATCAAATAAATATATCAATTTTGTAGAACATTTATTGACAGTCAATTTTGGGTCACTTTTTAAAATTAATTTACTTTTAAACCAGGACTCGGGCAAGATCTTATGGGACCTTAAGCAGAATATGATTAAGCAACTCCGTCTTTCTGTCAAGAACATCCACTAAGCAGGGTATCCAGGGGGGGATTTACCATTAGGCAATACTAGTCAGTTGCCCAGGGCCCCAAGTTCTGGGGGCCCCATAAAACTCTGTTTCCATGTATGGTTAATACAACTAATCCTTATTTGTGCACATTAATTATGTTTTTGATAAAAATCCTTTGGCTAAAATGCCATCAGAACGCTGATAAATAGAGAGGAAAAAGGGACAAGAAGAGAGGGACAAAACCTAGAACAAATAATGGATGTCTATTCTATTAACATTTCTCTATCTGTAGAATGGGTCTGTTTTATGGGTTTACTTCTCAGGGGGCCCCCTGCCTGTCTTTGCCTAGGGCCCCAAATTTCCTAAATCCGCCCCTGAGGGTATCAATACTGATTTGATAGAATCTGGGAGAGCGGACTACAGGTGCTGGTCATAAAATTAGAATATCATGAAAAAGTAGATTGATTTCAGTAATTCCATTTAAAAAGTGAAACTTGTATATTATATTCATACATTACATACAAACTCATATATTTCAGATGTTTATTTTGTTTAATTTTGATGATTACAAATGACAACAAATGAAAATCTCAAATTCATCATATCAGAAAATTAGAATATTACTGAAGACCAATAAAAACAAAGGATTTATAGAAATGTTGGCCAACTGAAAAGTATGAACATGAAAAGTATGAGCATGTACAGCACTCAGTATTTAGTTGGGCCTCCTTTGGCCTGTATTACTGCAGCAATGCGGCGTGGCATGGAGTCGATCAGTCTGTGGCACTGCTCAGGTGTTATGATAGCCCAGGTTGCTCTAATAGTGGCTTTTAGCTCTTCTGAATTGTTGGGTCTGGTGTATTGCATCTTCTTCTTCACAATACCCCATAGATTTTCTATGGGGTTAAGGTCAGGAGAGTTTGCTGGCCAATTAAGAACAGGGATACCATGGTCCTTCAACCAGGTACTGGTAGCTTTGGCACTGTGTGCAGGTGCCAAGTCCTGTTGGAAAATGAAATCTGCATCTCCAAAAAGTTGGTCAGCTGCAGGAAGCATGAAGTGCTCTAAAACTTCCTGGTATGTGGCTGCGTTGACCCTGGACCTCAGAAAACACAATGGACCAACACCAGCAGATGACATGGCACCCCAAACCATCACTGACTGTGGAAACTTTACACTGGACTTCAAGCAACGTGGATGAAGTGCCTCTCTTCTTTTCCTCCAGACTCTGGGACCTTGATTTCCAAAGGAAATGCAAAATTTACTTTCATCAGAGAACATGACTTTGGACCACTCACCAGCAGTCCAGTCCTGTTTCTCTTTAGCCCAGGCAAGACGCTTCTGACGCTGTCTGTGGTTCAAGAGTGGCTTGACACAAGGAATGCGACAGCAGAAACCCATGTCTTTCATACGTCTGTGTGTGGTGGTTCTTGAAGCACTCACTCCAGCTGCAGTCCACTCTTTGTGAATCTCCCCCACATTTTTGAAGGGGTTTTGTTTCACAATCCTCTCCAGGGTGCGGTTATCTCTCTTGCTTGTACACTTTTTTCGACCACATCTTTTCCTTCCCTTCGCCTCTCTATTAATGTGCTTGGACACTGAGCTCTGTGAACAGCCAGCCTCTTTAGCGATGACCTTTTGTGTCTTGCCCTCCTTGTGCAAGGTGTCGATGGTCGTCTTTTGGACAACTGTCAAGTCAGCAGTCTTCCCCATGATTGTGTAGCCTATAGAACTAGACTGAAAGACCATTTAAAGGCTTTTGCAGGTGGTTTGAGTTAATTAGCTGATTAGAGTGTGGCACCAGGGGCCATCAATTTTGAACCTTTTCACAATATTCTAATTTTCTGATATGATGAATTTGAGATTTTCATTTGTTGTCATTTGTAATCATCAAAATTAAACAAAATAAACATCTGAAATATATGAGTTTGTATGTAATGTATGAATATAATATACAAGTTTCACTTTTTAAATGGAATTACTGAAATCAATCTACTTTTTCATGATATTCTAATTTTATGACCAGCACCTGTATGTTCAACCATCCATTTTCTTTAACCTTATCCCTCAGTGGGATCAGGAGGTGCTGGTGCATATCTCCAGCCACGTTCTGGGTGAGAGGTGGGATCACCCTGGACAGGTCACCAGTCTGTCGCAGTATGTTCAACCAGCTTAAAAGTAATCTGTAATCAGATTTATTATTTGCACTTTTACTAAGTGAACTTTCTAACTCCCTTAAATCTGAAATTCCAATGCAAAAATTGTTTAAATCTTTTATCTTTGGACCCCCTGCAGAGTGACGTCACACCTGCAAGATCCTATCCTTACCTCCCTGCTAGATTGCAAAAAGCAGCTTGCTCATGAGTTGTCAACTTAAAGGAATAGTACACCCAAAACATGATTAGCCTTCATTTTCTACTCACCCCCATGCTGAACAAAACTCTGGAGTACTTTTTTGATATCTCAAATGCATCTGGAGATCTGGGAGGCTTCTTGCTGTCTGCTGACATTCAAATAATGGAGGTCTATGGCGCCCGAGACAGAAAGGTCCATAAAAGTCCACAAAAACGTGTCAATATTCCTCCATACTGCTCGTCCAATGTAATCCAAGTGTCCTGAGTGGGTAGCATCCAGAATTTACTCGAAACGAAGTGATTTAGAACGTTTTAGAGCCTAAACAGTAGTGTATAGGATTTCCTAATAGCGCCCCCATGCTCACTCACGATTCTACGGAAGCCGGCAGACCAAACCAGCGCATTCAGCTCGGCAAAGAACTCATGCTCTTCCTCAACACTGAAGTCCTCAGACATTTTTCTTTCGTTGTTTCTTTCTTTGCACAGGTAAACAGCACATTTCTTCTTCTACGCTTGCATTATCGGCAGAGCAGACGCTGAATGCGCACTTTCTTCCGGTTTGGTCTGCCGGCTTCCGTAGAATCGTGAGCGCGCATGGGGGCGCTATTAGGAAATCCTATACACTACTGTTTAGGCTCTAAAACGTTCTAAATCACTTCGTTTCGAGTAAATTCTGGATGCTACCCACTCAGGACACTTGGATTACATTGGACGAGCAGTATGGAGGAATATTGACACGTTTTTGTGGACTTTTATGGACCTTTCTGTCTCGGGCGCCATAGACCTCCATTATTTGAATGTCAGCAGACAGCAAGAAGCCTCACAGATCTCCAGATGCATTTGAGATATCAAAAAAGTACTCCAGAGTTTTGTTCAGCATGGGGGTGAGTAGAAAATGAAGGCTAATCATGTTTTGGGTGTACTATTCCTTTAACACGCTAAATCTTAAATGTACATATAAAAGAAAAAGGGGCGCAGTGCTTGCTACTGAATGGCAACACTATCAAAGTCAGGAAAAAGTTTTAAGTAAAGCCGGGATTAAAACAGTAGCTACAAGAAGCTTCAAATAAAAGGTGTTCTTCATGATCAACCTAAACACCAACTCCGATAGACCATCAGTAGAGCAGGTGTTTAAATTAATCAATCACTGCTGCGAAAGCTTCTAGCAGTGAAAGCTAATATACCACAGCCATCACTTAATAAACGCAAAATAAACAACCCTCTAAAAACGGAAAACTGTAATGGACTGAAAGTCCTGTTTTTTTATGTGGGAAATTATTTGCGTGTGTTTTAGTATAATTCTGATATATTGGCGCTGTTGTCTGTTTCTATGGCAACGATACTGAATGTAGTGTAGCTTAGAGACCTGCATGGGTCGAGTTTTACCAACCCGCACCCGCCCGAACCCGTTAGGATGACTACCGAACCCGACCCGTCACCCGCGGATATCTTCAATTCAAATGTTACGGGGAGAGGGCGGAGGGGGGTGATGGGGAGAAAGCGAGAGGCAACAGATTCTTTTTTCTGAGTTTTTTTTGTCGGGGTTTGTGGACGGTGAGCAGCGGGGAGAACTTTTTTTTATTTTCTTTCTGAGGAGCGGCATGAATGGGGTTTTAATCAGATATACACAGCACCGAAAGCAAAATACGTGTACAAAATATTGGTGGGGAAATGTCCACACCAGTCCTTAAGGAAGTTACGCCTATGATTGTTCAGATTAACTTGTCTTCTTTATGGCTTTTATTCGGTGCTTTACTGCATTTGTTTTGGGAAAATATGAGGAAAAAATAAATACAGAAAAAATATATATTTTTTTTAAAATCGCAAAATAATTATAGGGTGGCTAATGCCAAAGAAAGGGTGGCTGAAGCCACCCTTAAATAGGTCTAACGACGCGTATGGGAGGATCCGTCTGTTAGTGGAACCTGGGATCCAGGAGGAACAATACAGTTTTCGTTCCGGTCGCAGCACACTGGACCAGCTCTTTACCCTTCATCAGGTGCTCGAGGGTTTGTTGGAGTCTGCCCCACCAGTCCACATGTATTTTGTGGATCTGGAGAAGTTGTTTGACCATGTCCCTCCCTGTATGACCGAGGCAGGAGCTTGGTTTGTATTGCCGGCAGTAAGTCAGATCTGTTCCCGGTGCATGTTGGTCTTCGGCAGGGCTGCCCTTTATCACCGCTTCTGTTCATTATATCTAGGGACAGAATTTCTAGGCACAGCCAGGTACTGGAGGGTGTCTGGTTTGGGAATCTCAGGATATGATCTCTGCTATTTGCTGGAGGGTGTCTGGTTTGGGAATCTCAGGATATGATCTCTGCTATTTGCAGATGCTGTTGTCCTGTTGGCCTCATCAAACTAGGACCTTCAGCATGTACTGGGGCAGTGTGCAGGCGACTGTGAAAGGGTCGCGATGAGGATCAGCACCCAGGACACGCTGTAGGAACTATGGTTTGAGCTGGCCAGGTGGCGCATTGGAGTCCATCCAGAGCAGCAGGAGAAGGTGTGTGTGGATCGGGAAGTCTGGGTATCTCTGCTTAGACTGCTACCTCAGAGACCTGGCCCATGATAAACCGGAAGAAAATGGAATGGAAGTTAGTAAGGAATGCAAAATAAAATCATATTATAAACCTTTATTTATAAAACAGAAGCTCCTCTGAGTAACTCCCTTATAATCACATTTAAACTTCATGAATTGGGAACAAAATGCAGAAAAAATATATATATAGTCAGACTGACTTAATTAGTTTTAATTTGTTTTCATCCAGACACCTGAGCTGCTTTGATGTGCTCTGAAAGCTCAGTGTGAAAGACTGCTGATCCCAGGCTGTTCACTACATCCAGTCTGTTCCTCTGCTTGGTTTGGATGGTCTGTCTGCGTTCCTGCCCTCACCTATGGTCTTGAAATCTGGATCATGGCTGAAAGAACAAGTTCCCAGATAGATGTTAGATATTATATTATACATTTCTGTTTGAAATCATTGTTTTGATACTCAAAACTGTGACTCAGTGTGCCTAATGTGTTGTATATTCAAATGTTCTGTTGAAAATTTAAAAGGCATAAACATGCAGCTTGGGAAAAATAATATCATATTTTTGTGAAATCCTGCATTGAAAATCCATTTGATCCAGCTATTCATGCGTTCTTTAAAAAAAAAAAGTTAGATAGATAGATAACTCATTATTATCTGATATTATAGAATAATATTAGATTAAAAACGGATTAATATTGGTTTTTCCAATTTTTCACTATCTCAAACATCAATATTGAGTCCCAGCATAATATTTACACCAGAATAACTTGAATAACTATTTCAGTTAGTCAAAAAAAGGGAAAAATAAGTAGACTTCAGATTGGTCAGTAAGCTTTTTTACCGAAAAAAGCCAACCAATTTTAAAGGTCAACATACCTCTGTGGAAAAATATATTACGATTGGATGAGCCAGGGAAAATTCAGGCCATTAAACAGTAAACTGGTTTGGATTCACATTACTTACCGTGATATTATTTAAGAAGGGCTATTCTTTGCTTTGTATCTTAGATCCTGACACCTAACAACGTTGAAGAATTCAAAACACTTTTGTTACATAGTGTTTTTCTTCTGAATAAGCACTACAGTACATGTATGACCTAAAAAATGTCCTTTCATAGCCATTTCAAATTTTTTAGCATCCTTATCACTGTAGTTACTGTACCTAAACAGATGATAAAAAACAGGATTTTCAAAACACAGTTTTTATACTTTCATTTCAAATATTTATTTCTCAAACAATGAAAATAAGGCTCCTTTTACTTTACTTTACTTTCTAATTATTTGAGAGGTAGTGACTCTACATATGTCTCTTTTAGTCAGCATGTCTATAAACAGATCGGAGTAGGAAGAAGTCATGACTTTGTACTACAGGCTACAGGTAAACATGCACAAATTTGCTACCATCAAACAAACCAGCATTCATTTCCAGCTTTAACAGAATGAATCATCAGCACTCCTTCCTCCAGCTCCTAGGAATCTAATTTCCTTTTTCTATCCCAGTCAAATGGTTGGTGTTTATGCTTAACAATCTGTTTCGATTTACCCTTTTTGTCTGCTGTAGTACTCATTCTCTCCCTGTCCTCAGACACCCTTTTCTTAATTCTTTGTTGTCCATATGAACTAGTCCAAGAATGAGTAAGGCAACTTTTGTCCTTGGCAGCAGTTACATGAGTTATAAAAAAGAAAAAACAAACAAACAAGATGAGCAATTCAGTCTAATTCAAAGATCTGCTGTATGAAGTAATGTGCATCTGTTACTCAGTGGTGTAGGGGGATGTTAGATTTGTCTTTACATAAACATATTTTGAAAAAGTCAAACTTGATACAGGTTTCTACAGCTCGCCAGCATGATAACATTACAATTAGCGACACAGCTAAACATTTCTAAAAGGTGAAAATCTGCAAGTATTGAATTCAGGTTTGCTACAACACAAAAAAATGCTTTTAATCACAATTTGCTAAAAGGTTTTTGTGCAGAAAATGTCAAATTTCTTTTCTCCTAATGTGAAAACCCCAAACTGGCAAAAACATTTAAGCTGTTATAATATTATCATTTTGACTTGGCTGGCATGAGGATTGAGTAATTGTTGCCACACTGATCTATATAAATGTAACCATTTGATCTGCTAAAAGTACCAAGAATATTTTAAGGCTCTAGAGTTTTGGTTTAAGTTTGGTACTCCTTTGTACTCCTGCTTGGCTTCCTCATTATGGAGCCAAGCAAGAGTACAAAGGAGACAAAGAGAAGTGGGCCCAAAACTGTGCCCTGTGGCACCACACACAGAAGGGGAGCAGAGGATGACTTAAAATTGCTAAGAAAGAGACAGAAGCTTTGGTTTCCTAAATATAATTTTAATCAATCAATTGGTGTATCCCTGATGCCCACCCATCAGGAACCATTCAGGGACTGGTTGTGATGTAGGTTAGAGAATTGCAGCTGAGACGCAGCTTTTTTTTATGTTAAAATGGAATAAACTGTAGATAAAATAATATTAACAAAGGATGAAATAAGGAATGCTCTGAAGAGCTTTTTAGGTGTCTTTGAAAAAAGCCATTTGATCAATCAATCAATCAATCAATCAATCAATCAATCTTTATTGTTAACTATAATTTGCTTCGTAATTGAGATTTCAGTTTCAGTATAAACCATTCATTACATACATGGGGGGATGGACAAGCCAAGGCTGTTTCCTTTTCCTTTTCCCTTTTTAAGATAGGAGACACATTGAGGAGGGAGAGGGGAAAGTCCAAATTGAGGATCTGGAAGCTTAATAAAATACTAGATATTCTGTCCCTCATTTTAAGTGAAATACAATTCTTGCTTAAAGTTAATTTTTGGTAAAAACTTGTTCTATTATTCTTCCCCAGAGGTCATTTTTGTCATTTGTATGATGTTTTTCTTGTGTGTGAAGTTTGTGTAAAACGCTGCCCTCTGGTGGCCAACGGTAGTAATCAGAAACTAAACGACCTGCAGTATTTTCTATGATCCAGCTCTGGAGGTGTAACGTGTACATCCACCTCTCTACTCATTTCTTCGTTTGGACTCTTGGCAGATCATAATCTGTAAGTTTTGTCATCACAGTAAAGTGTACTTTTATGTTTCTCAGTAGTTTCAGGAACTTTTGTGCTTTATTTTTCATTATATTTGCTGTGTGGAATAAGCTAATATTGTCGGCAGTTGAATGCTAGCTCAATGCTAAAGCTGAGGCTGTACACTTGACATGCTATGTGTGTGACATATTATTTTAAGTTATGCAAGAGCATTTATGTATTTTCCTTTTTTGTATGTTTACAGTTTCACAAATTAACATGGTCTTCAGTAAAGACAGAGAAAAGGAATCGTGTCTCTTCATTGCTGGAACCATATGTGTTTAGCTCGCTGTCTAAGTTACGTTAGATACACTAACTGAGGGCAGAAGAGTGAAAAGATTGGTCTACACGCCAAGGCCAAATTCTAGACAGCAGAATGTCACACACTGGAGCCATGTCACAGCTCGAGGTGAGGTCAGAGGTCCACTCGTCTGCATCACGTCACTCCAGCAGCTCCACTGCAAGCCAGGCTGCAGTTCAAGCACGGGCTACGGCAGAGGCCGCCCGCAACAGAGCTCAGTATGCCAAACGCCAAATCGACATGGAGGTTGAAAAGGCACGCATCGAGGCGACATTGAATGCCCTAAAGCAGGAAGGTGAGGCTGAAGCAGCGATCGCAGCGGCTGAGGTCTACGAAAGTGCAGCTGGAGAGACTCATAATCCCAATGTAATGGCCCCAGGCATCCCAGATACAACAATTCCCTCTATTGGACGAGCCCAAGCGTTTGTGGACACCCATTTCTACAAAGAAGAGGACATTAAAGAAGAAGAAAAGGTTGAAACGGACGAGCAGTTAACCTTCAACCAACCGCATACCACAATTCCAATCTCAGATCCAAGCAAGTCGTCCCCTATAATGCATCCATGTGAGTATCATGCGGACCCTACACCCAAAGGGTGCCCAAAACAACACTCCTCAAACTACGTAAAATCATACAGCCACAATCATCAGCCCAGACCACCACAAACCCCACGCACTGAAATGTCAGAACTAGCAGCCTTGATAGCACGCCGTGATTTGCTAACCACAGGCTTTAAGGTTTTTGATAACAGGCCAGAATCCTATCTATCATGGAAGTCCATGTTTTGCAATGCTACAGAAGGCCTCTGTTTAAAAGCCAGTGAAGAGCTTGACTTACTCACCAAGTGGCTTGGTGGGGAGTCACTTCAGCATGCTCTAAGGATCCGAGCAGTTCACATAAACAACCCAGAAGATGGTCTGGCACGCCTATGGCAACGCCTAGAAAGAAACTATGGTTCGGCTGAGGTGATTGAAGCTTCCCTCTTTACAGGCTTAGAAAAATTCCCAAAGATCTCTTATAAAGACTCTAGTCTTTTACAGGAGTTAGCTGATCTTCTCCTTGAGATACAGTATGCAAAAGAGGAAAACTACTTACCAGGTCTTAGTTTTCTTGACACTTCTAGAGGGATAAACCCAATAGTTGAGAAGCTCCCATACAGTCTCCAGGAGTCATGGGTCAAACAAGGGTCAAAATATAAAAAGGATTATGATGTTGTCTATCCTCCCTTCTCATATTTTGTACAGTTTGTTAATGACCACGCTGAAATAAAAACTGACCCCAGCTTTATGTTACAGGGCCATAGTTCACATTCTCCTAAGTTCGACAGGACACATATAAAACAAAACAAGTACAGAGTCCCTATTGCAGTAAATAAAACAGAGATTTGCAAAACAGGTGAAAACATCAAAGCAAATCTTCCCAGTCCAGACAAGGAGTGTCCCCTTCATCATAAGCCACATTCCCTAGCCAAATGCAGAGGCTTCAGAATGAAAACACTTGAACAGAGGAAGAGTCTACTTAAAGAGCACTCCATATGTTATAAATGCTGCTCATCCACAGATCACAGAGCCAAAGACTGTAAAGTTATGATTCATTACTCTGAGTGCAATAGTGATTTACATGTTTCAGCCAT